ATCAGGTGACGCAAGATCAAAGGATGAATGACAGTTTAGAGTTTTGCTCATTTACAAACTGTAAATAAAACCATGTCTGCCCCCTGCAGGTGGAGAAGAGCAACGTGCGGGTGAAGCAGCTGAAGCATCAGCTGGAGGAAGCGGAGGAGGAGGCGCAGCGCGTGGTGGCAGCCCGCAGGAAGCTGCAGAGGGAGCTGGAAGAGGCAACAGAGTCCAACGACGCCCTGAACAGAGAGGTTGCTTCGCTCAGGAGCAAACTCAGGTAACGAAGGTCTCGAGCACAGAGACGTTCGATAAATACGTCACACCCACCGAAGCAAAACTAGAACAATGTGAGCAAAGGTCACCTCAGCGCCTCTTCTGCTCTGAAGTTTGAAACAAGACAAATGACAATTGTTTCCTCTCGTATCTGCTGTTCCACAGTGGGCGGGCATAATAAGCATTGCTGCATTTTCTTATGGTGCGATGAGTACACACCAATCAGGCGTGACATCATAAACACCTGTTTGATATTGCATTGGTCCCCCTTTCCTGCCAGAACAGCCCTGAGGCTGTGCTGTGGTAGCTGCACCATCAACACAGTCCTGTAAGCTCTGAGGCGGGGCCTTCATGGAGCAGACGTCTTTGTCCAGCACATCCCACAAACCCTCGATTGGATTGAGATCTGGGGAATTCGATGGCCAGGTCAACACCTCAAACCATTCCTGAACCATTTCTGCAGCTTTAGCCTGCTGAGAGAGACCACAGCCCTCAGGGAGTATCACCTCCGTGAAAGGCTGTACATGGTCTGCAACGATGCTTCAGTAGGCGTAACATCCACGCGGATGCTAGGGCTCCATGTTCTGGTCTGCAGCTCTGCAAAAAGGACAAAATGTTCACCTGCTCTCTGATATATCCCGCCCACTAACAGCTGGCGCCATGAAGACAATCAGTGTTACTCCTCTCACCTGTGTGTGGTCATAACGTTGTGCCTGATCAGTGTATGAACAGCAATCCCTCAGTTACCGTTTTGTCCTCTCTTGAATCTGAATGTCGTCACAGAGAGAGGATCTCGCTAATATGGTCACACGGCACAGAAGCCCCGCCTACCTTCTGGTTAAACCTCGTCTTTAAGAGAGACAGCCAATCAGAAGAAAGGTGGAGGAGAGTTCGTAACAGACAAATTTGGACGCATTAGCTACTCTAGCAGAAAAACTACCTGTCGAGGTGTAGTCATTAAAATCTTCCTGCTTAGGTGGAGATGCCAAAAGTTACTACTTGACCAAATTAAATGCTGGAAACTAGTTGGTTAGATTTGGTAAGTTAATAACTCTGCTTTAAAACACTGATGGAGTCACCACAGCAGGTACGCCAACTAGTTTTTTCACTGGATGCCCAAACAGATGTGTGTCCTCCGGGTGTTAAGGTGGGGCTCTTTGGTTAATCCTGCGCTCTGACAGGCTGGAAGCATCGGCTCCCTCTCAGTAACCAATCAGAGCTCAGCTTTAACAGGACACTTCCCTCATAAATGAGCCTCGGTGACAGTCTCCACAAATCAAAGTGTTTTGTTGTTGAATGTGTCGAACGCTCTCGTGTAGCGGCTGAGCGTCGAAGACGAGCTCACTTGTGATTTTAAATTTCCTTTTCCTCCTTTCATGTCTCGCTGCTCTTGTTTCACGCTCGTCTTCAGGCGCCTCTGATCTGCAAACTCAAAGCCTTCTGGGAATGTTCTCCTCTTCCTCCCCCCCCCTCACTGCTCTGCCTCCAGTTTACTCCTGCTTCAGGATTTCAGGCCCTACCTCTTAAATATTTTGCTTTGCAGAAAGCCATTTCCTCTTCCTCTGCCGCCTTTCCTCTCTTTCTGACCCTCCTCTTCCTCCCGATGTGTCGGGTGTTCCCAGGCGTGGCGGCAGCGGTGCTGGTGGGGAGATGTTGTACAGCAGCTCCACTCCTCGCAGCAGTGGTGGCGGCAGCATGAGGAGTTTGGGGCTCGGAGGGAGCATCAACCGGAGGAGCAACATCAAAGAGAACTCGGTGGAGCTGCACGAGGAAGAGCCTCCCTCACCTTCCTCACCCGCCCGCACCCCACCTCTGGAGCCCCGTGCCGAGGTCTACACCTGCTCCCCCAACGAGTAGACGACCAGGAGCAGATAAAGAAGTGTTTTAGGAAACAACCAAGCGTAGAGTCACAGGAGGAGCTGGATATTTAATCAATACTATGGATTTATGTTTGAAGCAAATAGTTTTGTTTTTAAGTTATTCCAAACACACTGAGGGACAAACTGTGGACGGACCAAATTTATCCCCAACAAAACAAAACAAAAAGTCATTTAATAGCCTGAAGCTACAATTTAATGTCCCAAATATTAGAAATATTAGCACAAGTATTTCATACTTCATCCATACAATGCTACCAACCTGTTAGTCTGATCATTTATTTATTTTTAATTATTTCTGACACTAAAAGTCAGTAAAATGTTATTTTACGAGCAAAAACTCTCCAAATGTTCCACTTTCACTTCCTCAGTGTGAGAATTTGTTTTACCGTCACATCTGAGAGCATTTTAAAGCTTCTGTGCCAACGCTTTTACATTTTATACATAATAATCTGTTTCTATAGGAAATAATCTGTGAGATTTGAGACCAATTTAATTTATGATTCTTTGTGGATGAATTTCCCTTCTTTTGTTGTTCCATAAATATGCACATCTCCAATTATTTTAAAAAACATTTCATCCCTGCAAATACATGTAAAACACCACAGTAAGGTTCCTAAATTCACCCAAGAACTCTTAAAGCGGATTTTAATGAGTTTCAGATTTTGGGTCCCATTATCCCCCCAAAGCTGCAGCTCCATTAGTCCCTCTAATCCACCGCCGCTCTAGTTTATAGAAATATAGAAATTAATTTCATTGAATTGGTAAAATTTAATTGGCATCTCCTGTCCAAATAACCTCCCACCACATGCTGGAGTTAAAAACAAACATGAACTTCAGTTCCAGAGCTCCACAAATATCTGCAGCTTTGCATCTGAGCCTGTTCATCCCTGTCCTGACAGCAGCTCCACAGGAGAAGAATTATTAATAATTAACTGGTGGAAAACATTAAAATCTTCTCACTGTTCCAGCAGTCTACGCTCATATAGGGTTTCTAATAATGAGATGATTATGTACAAGAGTCCCTGTGAGCCCAGAGCTCCGGCTGCTCTAAACGCTGTTTATCACAGTTTGCTCATCTCGGGCACACAAGCCACACACACCTGAAGATAGGTGGACAAATGGGACATGAATCGTGCAAAGCTCCTCAGGTGGAGTCTAAGAATCATAACGTGGAGACAAACATGAGCAGGATGTGTCTACAGTGCAACACTGCAGCAGACCAACAAAGAAGCTTTAAGATGAATAAATTAGCTCAATAGTTCTCCTTTAAAGTGCTGTTAGGAGCATTCCTAACCAGCAGATGGCAGCATCACCCTTTATTAAAGGTCTACTCAGCCAATCAGATGCAGTGAAACTGCACAAACCCAAAAACCAAACCTAGCAGTTTTGGAATATCTTCATTTTCATTTTCAGTAAACTGTGTTGTAAACTGTACAACAGGTGGATAAAAGCAGTTTTTAAAACCATCCGTGTACCTGTGGGGAGGATCCTGGCTTCACAATGTCAAACTGAATAAAGCGAGGTTCAGACAACAGCTGAAGAGCTGCCAGCTCCAGTCCTGCCGTCACACTTTAACAATCTGCGCTGCTTTAACACAGGAGGAATTTAGGCTGCACACTTTAGACGAACGTTTGCCGTTTCAGCTTTTGTTACGTGGACTGTTATTAACCTAAAAACTCTTATATAAGAAGTCGGCCTTGCTCGCCTCGGTTTGTGTCATCAGTGTGATTTTCCTGTAAAAATATTACCTGTAGATCTTTTGTTTTGTCTAAACAACCTTCTGGCTTTGCCAGGATTCGGGAGATCATATGCAACTCTTCAGCGCACAAACTGAGGCGATCCTTTCTGGACTTTCTTTGAGGGTTTCAGGAATATTTAGAGAAAATCTGTATGTATCCAACCGGGTCCACATTAATTCCTGACACACTTGGTTTTAAATCTCACAGATACGAACGCCAAGGCTCAAAGTCCCCCACACTTGGCGAAGGGTGAAGCAGGAGTCTGTGCTCTGTAAACCACAGAAATGATATCAGACTGAAACCAAACTCTTACAAATGTTTTCTGTTTCCACTTCCTGTGATAAATAAAAATGAAAAAGGACAATCCTTCTGTGCGTTTCAAGTTTTATTGCTTTTTCAGAAGCAGCGCTGAAGGTAAAAAACAACAAAGGCCAGAACAGGTCTTCAGCACTTCATGTGAGCATGCAAGCACTTCCTTTTACAGAGTCACATAAGGCAAAAGAAAAACACCAGAGCCTGTTGCTTTACACCCACCCTGAGCAGCTACTTATAACAGGTCCTGACTCAAGACTTGAGCAACCCAACCTACACATCCTCATCCTACATTTTAGTGACCCTACAGTGAGTAGACAACACTACGACATACTTTTTTTAACATAAAACACGAGTAGCCTTCACTGAAGTAATCGAATCTCCTCAGAAACAGAAGATGTTTCAGATTTCACTCCTGGAAAGACAGAAGTAGCCCTGCAGAGGGATCTAACAAACGTCTCCACAGACTAAAAAGTGCCTAAACTACCCGTCTGCCACACAGATCTCACAAATCTCCATCATTAGAATCATCTAACATCTACACGTTAGCTCTAACATCAAACTTTTGGACGGAACTAATATTTTTATAAGCATAAAAGCTCATCTGAAATATCCTGAGGGTCGCCAGAGGTACTTTTTGTAACTACCGTTTGCAATCTTTAACCAGCAGGGGGCAGTGTTTCACCAGATGTTGCGGCTGCTTTCCCAGACCTGCTGCACTGTATCCTGGTACAATTTGGGCACAAATTTATAGCAGTTATTTACATTCTGTTGGTAGCTTTGGTTCGTTTTGGAAGGTTAAAAAGTTTTGTTTTTTGTTTGTTTAAATGCAGGAATTTACAATAAGTTATCAAGTTTCACCCTGTTAGAGGCATTAATGTTACCTGTAAATTTCACGTCAAGCTGGTGATTTAAGTGAAACATTTTAAGTATAAAACTGAACTTTGGTCTGAAGGGAAGTCTCCAGAATCATTAGCAATCATCATCCAGGAACGATGAATATCCACGGCTAATCTTTCCTAATGTTTCCACCACACAGAGAAATAAAACCGGTTTTATCGGGTTCATCTTCTTCACCTGAGCGTTATGGTGCGTTCACGGAAAAAAGAATCAAAGTTTATCCAAAGAAGGAGACTAAATTTTGAGCTGGTGACATGAATGGAGGTGAAAATATTTCAGGCGATCAGCTGAGATTCTCCTGACACCCGTCGCTGTTTGAATCTCGAGGCATTACTCAAGTTAACTTGGAGAACGTGGAGAAAAGGAAGACTTCCTGTGAAGCTCTGAAAATACGCTACTGAAACGTTATTCCAGCTGTGGGCTGGACTCTTCCTCGTCTCGTTGGCTGTCACGATTGAATAACTGTGGTTTTTTCATATGACGATTCTTCGATTCTTTAGTGTGAACGCTCTGATTTTCTGCTTCTTCAGAAAGTTTCATCCTGCAGTCGGACTGCGAGTTAAAAACAGCAAAGTGGTGAAAAGCTGGTTTACGCTGCACTACACTGAGAACAAAGACTATCAGTTACAATCCAGGAGGGCGGAGTCATTATGTCCATCGGTTAGTCTTCGTGAAATAATTGTAGATGACAGAATTATGAACGCCACGTGTGGACGGACAGCCACAAACTTAAACTGTGAGAAAGCCTCCTTCCTCTACAATCAGGTTATTGATGACAAACTGAGCTGAAGTCCATAATTAAGACAATAACACTAATAAACCCAAACAAAACCGTTTACTGTGTTCGGCCCACCTCAATCTAGGTTTTAGCCTGAGTTTGACAAACTAAAATGAAATTCATGGAGAACTGCCCGAGAACCAGAAGGCAAAGAGTGAACCACAGAACGAGGCCAAAGGGCCACATGGAGCTGCAGAGGAGCCAACTTCTCACATTCAACGAATCATTATAAACACATTTAGACACCTTTGACAGATACATCCCAAAATGGTCACCTGGTGTCGCAAGATCCTTCAAAAATAGTCACAGACAGCGCGTCACCTTTCCGTGACCGTGCTGTCTGTGACTTCCTTATAAAAAGGTCAAAGGTAACAACACTATTTCTTCTGAGCTTTGCTGCCTCAGCAGTAAAATCTTCGGTCATGTTAGAGCTGGGCGATATAGACAAAAACATTAATACACATTACATCCTGAGCGGTCACGTGACCGCTCACCAACAGTCTGCGTCCACCTTTCGTTCTGCTGTTGAACATAAACGCTGCTAGTTTGAGGTTCAGTCACTGCGGGTTTAAGTGGAAGCTCTGTGTCAAAGACTTTTCACAGTTGCTCTTTGTGGTAAAACAAGAAGCTGCAACGCTCCACCAGACTCCATTCACAAAAACAGGAAGTTTACCTGCCAGAGCAGAAGCTGCTCATCATTAGTTCGTGTTACTGCACGGCGGTGGTTACTGGCAGACTTCGGTTTCGGTTGGTTCTAATAAACGTGGTGGCATGGAAGTTTGGGAAACACCTCTGGGGTATTTCCTGGCTCAAGATGGGCCTTTAGTAGTTGACTTGCCACGCCGCCCTTTTAGTTTAGCTTTAGTTACTATGATAAAGGTGGTTACAGAGGTTTTGCTAGGAAAAGCCATTAATCCCAGCAGCTTGGGGCAGGGTTGTAGCACAGCGGCAGAAACCCTGCAGTCAGTTTGGATCTGAAGTGACGGGTAAATCCGGCTTCCTGCGAGGTAAAAATGTGTTTTTGTTAACGAAGTCTGATTCCCTCTCCTCAAGTTTTCTGCTACCACAGACATTAAGTTAACATGTACCGTTACATTTCAAGTCGTTATTCATGCTACACGTAGAAGTAAACCATGTGGATTTTTTGAAAATATATCGACGTATTTACCAAATCGACACATTGCCCAGCCCTAAGTAACGTAGTCAAAGTCTCTGCTCAGTCTGTAAGAATGTGTAAACATATCGTCTTTCTAGGCCACCACGTGTGCTCATCATCTCCTCTCTGTGTGAAATCAGAGACACTCCTGACGGTGGAAGCTTCTTGACTGTCGGGAGGTTTAAAGGCAGTTTTACCCCCCAGTGTGTGCATAAAGGTGCCCGTCCAGTGCTCAGCCATCAGACGTCTCTCAAGCTCACTTTGTGTTTAATCTGAACAAAACTTTAGAGGGAGAGGGGAAAACAAGAAGATCCAAACAAAAGGAGCTGAGAGGGTCCAGTAGATCAGTTCAAAGCCAAGTGCGAGTGCTGAAAAGAGTCCTGTTAACGAACAAACAAAAACATCCCGACGTGTCTGGAGTAACGTGTCCTCAGAGCTTCGGTAGTCTGTATCCTGAAGAGGCGACAAGGGCGATACCTGTGTCACGTTCAGGAGACCCGGGGTGGACGGAGACGACGGGCCCAGCAGCATTTTTACTTTCACAGCAGCAGCTTGGATCCAGCTCCTAAATCCAACCTCTTAACGAGCCTGGAAACAACAAGTAAACAGTCACAACCTCTGAACGTCTTTCAGTGCCATCTCTGATCAGACAACAGAGTATTTCCACTTCACAGGACGGACTTTAATAAAGATCAGTAAATCTGCAGAACAACCCGGGGCTGCAGCATCGTACGTTACAGCAAGAAAATCAGTCGTTCATCTCACTAATGCGCTCGATGCTGACCGGCGAGGAAAGCAACAGTGGAGAGTTTAGATGACCAAACACATGCATCCAAATTTTTAGGCCTCTCTCAGTAATATGAAGGTTCCCCTGATAAGCAGGAGACTTACAGTGAGTCTTACGCTGCCTTTCACGGCTGCACAGAAGCTCACCCCTTGTTGTAGAGGCCGTTGGTTGGATGGCTCTCTGAGGAGCTGCTCTGACCCGCCGCTGCCCCCTGTCCACCAGCGTGGGCTCTGCGATTCACCGCCTGCTCTTGGACATATTCCCGACACGATGCCAGCCTGGACTCCAGACTCTGAACGGAGAAGAAAAAACGAAAGGTTCAAATCTCTGATTTAATGAGCGTCACAAACCACCGGCCGTAACGGACCACATGTTCCTGTCATGTGACACCAAGTACCTTTTGTATAATTTTTAAGGCTTTTCTTGCTTTGCTCCCATCTTACTATTGTTTATCTAAAAATATGCCAAGTTACTGTCTTCACTCTGTACCGGTGATTTAAAAACAGAAAGAAAGAAAAATCACTGGCTGTGTTATTCTTCCCAAAAGTCAAAGATAAGTCTGTGTAATGCTTAATGGACTCTGAGAAACTGCCTGCAGCATCACATGACGGTAAGTCAGATGATGAAAAACACGAGCCGAGCTTCTTACCCCGACTTTCCTCAGCAGCTCTCCGACAATGTTCAAAGCAGAGATCCTCGCCGACGTGGTGAGCGGGGTCCCAGACAGGCTTTCACCTGAGAAACAGACACGCAGCTCAGCGATAACGAAAACAGACGAGCAGGACGACCGATTTACACTCGATAAAGCAGTTAGTTAAAGAAAACATTCACAAATAATCAGATTCATGAATATGATCATCATCTGTAGCCAACTCAAACTTATCAACAATCATCACACTCTTATTGTGAAAGTTCACTGTTGGCGAGTCCGCTCCGTCCTTTCCTGCCTCGTGTTTCTCTGGTGGAAGGGTCGCCCGTCGACAGAGTCGGACTCCACCGGTGATGTCAGGCTAACCAGAACCTGCAGCAGGATGAGACCCGACTCATGGACCCACACGGACCTAAACTGAAGCTGCAGAACTGAGACTACTGCTGCAAACCCCACTCCACAGGATCAGGGTAACCCATGCAGGACAGCTGACACATACAAATAAAGTTAAATAAAAGCTGAACACTGAGCTCGACCCGTTTCTCCTTCAGGATCCACAGAAAATAAACACCAAAGGGGATTTTCTATATTAAAAGTGCTGCTGCAGCCTTTCCACTGGCGGTGTTGTTCAGAAAAGACAAACAAAAAACATTTTTTCTTTCTTCCTGGATACTGTTGCTAACTACAAAATGAGCCCCCAGTATTTTCGGCGTAGTTTCCACCACGGGGCAGCTCAGCAACCAATCAGGATCGCCGCTGATCCTTTCCCAGCAGCAGTAAACACGGGCTGTTTGGTTGGATTTCAGCCGAGCAGTTTGAGCGCTTATCGCGGGCAAATCCATAATTAGCAGCAAGAAAAGAACAGCATTGTTTTTTATGATGCCAGAAGCTTTTATAGTGGTTTTAGTGTCACTAAAGAGAGTTTATCTGTAGGGATCTGAAACCTTTTGGAGCTTTTTCTTGAATCAGGCATAAAGCATGTTCTTGGAATCGCTGTGGCTCAGATACGACTGATTATAGAAGAGCTCAGCTTGTGTTTCAAGCACATTTTGAGAAAGTCACACTTCATAAACAGAGCTGGATGATAAAAAGGTTAACACCACCACAGAACATAGACTGACCTCTGCTGACGGGGGGCTGCGGGGTGCTGAAGGGCTCTGTGGAGGCGGGGGGTCTGGGCGGCGTGACGGCGGAGGGAAGGGGCTGGTTAGAGGACGAAGACGCGGGTTTGTCTTCTGTTCTTTTGTCTAACGGGGTGAGAGGAGGGGTGGGCAGCCCAGCCGAGGACGACGACGCTGATGAAGAAGGCTCTTTGGCTGCACTGCTGAAGGACGGCTTCCTCTCCTGTACCTGCTGTTTTTGCTGCACGGCGAGCTCCTGCCTCAGGTCTGTGCAGACACACAAAGAAGTGATGAAGACGAGCAAAAGCAAACACGAACGAAACTGACGAAGAAAAAGATCTCGCTGCACCTCTGGCTTCGTCCTTCAGTCTCTGGACGGACTCTAACAGGTTCTCCTTCTCGTCCAGCTCGCTCTCAAGGAAGGCGTTCCTCTCTATGACCTGATTCATCCTCTGCTCGAAGTCCTCCAGTGACATGATCGTCGCCCTGAAAGGCACCGAACCAGAAACGTCACAAAACAGACCGTTTACAGGGTGACTGCATTAAAACCAGCGAGTCTGTCCTGTAACAAGAGAGACCAGGAAAGAGGACAGCGAAGCAGACATGGAGATGAGCAGACACCAGAGCCGCTGCAGTTTTGCTGTTGAAACTATGAAAGGTGTTTTTCATGATCTCCTGAACTTCTGGAGTTATGAAGGATCAAAACTGAAAAACTGAATAAAATCTGAATCCACCTGTTACTCAGAAAAGATTCATTGAGGATCGTTGAG